TTGTTATGCACTACATTCAGGTCTCCAATGTTTTAAGATTTTGTAAAATAAAAAAGGCCTAAAACTCAAAGGTGTACCATAAAAAGAAAAATGCTCCTGTAAAGTTATAGAGAAATGTGTATAAAAGATTGTGTCCAAATGTGAAACAATTCTGACAGTAACTTTCTGAGATCTACTCAAAATAGTTTTGCAACCTGGTCAGATAAACAATTCTGAGAAAACTGCAAAGAGAGATAATTTTTTGTTGAAGATTTTCCTACATTGCTGCCTCTCTTAAATGCATTTCCAGCTATTTATAAGTTTGATAAAGGAATTAGGCTTCTAAAGATGAATCCTTGATATTGATATCTATTAAGATACTCCAAAATCCGAAAAACTGATATTTTTTCTAAATTTTTACTGATCTGACCAGTGGATCCCCTTAAGTGTCCATTGAATCCGAGGGCAAAGCAAAAATGTTCAAATTAAACGAGGGGAAAGAAGAAGAAGAAAACACACACACAAAAAACAACAACAACCCAAACCAGGTACCCCTGACATCACCATATACACTGCTTTTGGTCATGGCTGGTTCTCACTTAGGCATAAAAAAGGAAGTAAAATTTCAGAGCAAATATTCACCTGCCAGTACTGCTAGGAAAGTCAGGCTGTATGAGCAGACAGCACTTGATAATTATAGAAGGACATCCCCCCCCCCCCAACCTGGGAGAACACAATAACACTACAGACCTTGCTCCTGTGACTGGTGGTGGAAACTCCAGATGTGCTTGCCATGGATTTCACAGAGACCTCTGTGCCCGCCTCGCTGAAGTTGCTCTGACTTCCACGAATGTCCTGAAACAGACAAGGACATAATGATAAATGTAATTAATGAAGGTTGATACAGATTGTTTAATGGTCGATATTATTTGAATTTTGTTGCTTTTCTGTACATTATTAATAAATAAAATTATGTAATTATGTACAAATGAGTGTACTGAGCCAGATTTTAAAAAACCCAAAAGTTTTACTCTCTCAAGTTCACTGTCCTTGAAATTGATCTAGATAGGTCTATAGGATAGGCACTCAGCAGTCTAACAAAAATCACATGTTCCTTTACCATCTCTTTCACAAAAATATTTTTTATAAATTTACATAATAGGTCTGGAGAAAATACAGTCACACGAGTGACCATATGTTGTACTTCAGCTCAAGATATAACCGGGGCAAATAAACATTGTATTGTAATGCACCCAATTTTTAAAAAGCCTCAAAAAGCATCGAAACCGAGGGAGTTCAGAAAAACATTTCAGTAACATGGGTGGAGCATCATCCTTTTAGAAGAACAAAGTGCATTATTTCAACAGGGGAAAAATCACTGTGACAGAACTAACAGACAAGGAAATCAGCTATCACTTCTCAACATTATTTTCAATTGTGAAGGCAAAAAACACCATGAAACTTTTTAACACATTATACCCTAAGGGCCTGGACGGGAAGTCCATTGTTAGATCCTAAGCAAGGGGAAGGAACCCACCTCCCGTGAATACAAGCGTTTAAAAAACACATTTTAACCCTAACTCTGGCAAGTGGTTTCAACAGGAATGGCAGGGCTAATCAGCCAAAATGTGCACATGCTTTACAAATCAAATTTATGGACTTGCATCAAATAAAAACCCTACAAAATCATTGCAACTCATTTTTAAAAAACGTAGCTATAAACTATATTTTTAAAAAATACAACCAAAAAAACAACAACCCAAAACTTTGTTAAAAAATAACAAAATTAACCCAACAAAATATAAAGAGGAAAATACGAAGTATAAGTACTCCTTGACAGAACCTGAATTCATTATGAAGAATAGAAAACCAGCTGCTTCATATATATTCCACTAAGTCAACTAGTCTAAAAAAAACTCACCAAAAAAACCCCCCAAATTTTTTCTTGAATGAGAAAATTCTCATAGAATTTATGCTGAGAGCACCAATACTGATAGGATTTTAGGATGTACCAAAGTCGTGCAATCAGTGCAGCATAAACCACTGTGTGCAGGGACAAGCCAAAGTGGGTCAAGAACTACTATTAGAACTGATCACTTCTAGCTCAGAGAACGTCAGAATTAAAAAACCCCTAGGCTAAAATCATATATCAGGTTTTGTTCTAATTCTTAAATGAAAATGGCAACAATATCTAACACTACCAGTGTATTTAAGAAAAAGATACCAGTGAACAAGACAGTAAGTTCACATAAATTTCTACATTACAGCAAAAGAACCACATCTACATGAAATGTTTTTCTTACATCTGACAAAAGCACTCTGTACAGTTTGACAGAAGCTTTGTCTCTTCTAATAATGTGCAAACATTCATATGTATTCACAATTAAAACCAGATTTCTTAAAGATTTTAGTATGATATCTACCACAATCAATGAAAATAAAAAACAATTAACACTATCAAAACAAGCTTTTACCAGCACTCAGTCAGTAGGCCTACAAAGAGTATGGGTAAACACAGTTTAAAAACTCAGATCAAATAGGCGATGCCCACTGGAGGATCGATTCGGTTAGGTTTCTGGCAGCTTCAGTGCATACTATAAATAAGACTCAACTGCCCAAACTGATCGCCCGACGTGAAGCCTTGAAAACAAATGCGTTTGTTATTGAAGGTCCTCTTCCGTTTTCTCAGTTTGTGACAAAATGGTAGCTTTTGCCCCTCCCATGGAGGATAATCTGGCTAGCCCCCGACGACCAAATAGACCAAACTGAACAAATCCTGCCAATAGACACCGCCTATAATAATCGGTTTTCATATATTTTAGTTTTAGTAGAGGTTTTAGGGAGCTTGCAACTGCATAAGGTTATATCAGCGCCAGAAGATTAGAGGTGTTACAAGAGAGTAACAAACATAAAAAAGAAGAAGGGGAGATAAGGACAATATATGTTTGATAGGAAAGAAGAAGCAAACCACACCAAAGCACCCGCCAACCTTCAAACATTTGACTATTGCACTGAAAGTAGTAGTTAAGCAGTTGTCTAATCTCAAGGCTAGTCTACATGACTACTGTTCAATCTAACGAGTTAGCAGGAGAGGCAGACAATACACCTACATTGCACAGAAAGTGCACTCATGAATATAAAACAGCAAAACAACACAGGTTTACAGTTTTACCTGTTCAAGTTTTCTGTCAGCATCCTTCGTTTGCTGCACCAAGTCCTTCACCTCTTTGTTCTGCCTCAACTGATCCTCAACAAAACTTGTGGTTACCACTTTCATCTGATTCACTTCTGACACAGCCTCATCATGAAGCGTGTTCAACAGGTTCTTCACACTATCCCGCTGAAAAAAATAAATGTTTGATAAGATAAGAACACCACCTTGATATGCAAGACAAGGACACGCGACCCATGCAAAGATACGTCATTCACGCATACTTAACGCCCTTGACATGACCTCTCCCCACTTTAACATTATGATTTGTGACCACTTACTTAACACTGAAAGTTCCATCCTTTTCCCTCAGTGTCACAATCCTCAACCTCTTACACTTACACTGCGACTTTTTACCCCAATACTACAAATCAAGATCTTCCGTCTCAACATGGTGACCCTTGATATCCCACCTCAGCTATTGTGACCCGTAACCTCCCATCCCACCACCATAACAGGTTATAGCTATAATCATGTGGAACTTTCAGTGTTGCAAGTATTTTGACATAGACAAAGAGAATGTCTATAGATATCTTTAATGAAGTACATTTAATTATTTCTTAAAATGTTTTTCCACTTTTCATCCTTAGAAATACCAATGTGAAGAAAATTCTCATTCCTCACTTCAGTTTTGAAAGTCACCAAAAACAATAACAAATTATGAAAATCTGAGAGAACATACAGTTACAACAACTTCTCACCTGTTTGAATAGCAGTGTCTTGAATTCCTCGAAAGAACTTGCATATTTTTCATGCTGAGCTTTCATTGAAGATGCTTTAGCAGAAATCTCCGATTTCAGAAGTGAAATTTGTTGAGCCTCATTTGCCTTCAAAAAAGAAACAAAAATACTGACTAGACTGGTATGCAGCAGCACCCAGATGGGCGTGCCTATTTTCATTTCAGAACAATTTCACAAGTTGCAATGACTTATATACAAATGAATAATCCACAACTTTCTTTTTTCATTAAAAAAATCGATATGATATCACACAAACAAACCACTGATTTTTAAAGACTTTTTAAACACAGTCGTTCATTTTGTAGAATATAACAAATTTCATCACTATCAACATTTTTATATGAGAGGAACAAACTATATCATGAATTCTATCTGAATGGCCATGTAAAAGTTTGCTATATTTTGAAGAAATTGCAAACGCTACTTTAAGTGGCATTTCTTTTTGACCCCTGAGAAAGCTAAAGTCAAACAGTCATCTTGAAACCAAAAGTCAGCCTGCGGACTAAACAAGAATTTCAACCATGGTTATCACCCCACCTCCTCCCCAAACAAACAGAGCGTTATTCTACTTCTACTGCTATAACAAATTACTATACTAATCACAGCATTCCTGTCATTCCGTAAACATTTCTTTGTTTACAATTTAGACATAACAGCTGCGCATAGAACCAGTCAACACCAAACTGAAGTAGAGAGAAAAAAAGTTACCACTATTTTCAATAGATCTTCTTTGGTCAGATTCATAAATCCGTCTCTCTTGTTAATTAGGTCCTGCTCTGACAGCACAAATCTTTCCAATTCCTTGTCCATTCTTTCCTCATTTTCCTGGGCTTTGGCCTGAGTTTCGTTCATCAGCTGTTTGTGTTGTGTGACAAGGGTTTCTGCAGAAAACAATTATACTTTTACTATAGAGGGGAGAGAGAAAGAGAAAGAGGCGGC